AGTATGTTCAGACTGTCATAAATTTACCAGATTGATTTCAAAGATTGGAAAGAGGGAAATTATAGCGAGGGACTCAAGCCGATTCCACCATTTTAAAGATGGAGTTTGCTCTTGTGGAGATTACTGGTGAGCTTGAAAAACTAGAATTACATAAACATGAATTCGTAATTAGATTTTTTGCAACTTGTTAACACGCCACAATCTCTTTCTGTAAATACATCATTTTCGATTTCCAAGCTTATCTTAAAAATATAAATTTTACATTGTATAAATTATCATCTGAATATTATGTTTATCAATTACTTTCCACTAGGTAATGAGAAAGGAGTGAAAGGCAGCACAAGATTACTGTCAGCCCTCAGGAATTTTTTACCAGTAGGTACTATTTCCCATGGTCTTTTAACCTTTCATCATTTAGTTTCCTATTGATCCCAAGGACACCAGCCCCATGTTCAGAAAAGAGTTATAATTTTAACGATCGAATTGTTTAATGTTATTTACTAAATGAATATTAATAAAGATATCATCTCGGAAAGACATGTTAGGGGCCTTTGGTACACAAATAATATTATATAAGTAGATTCGGTATTGACATTTATGATTCATTGACTAATCACAACCTAGTTCATCAGAACAAAGTATTACAGTTCCATATATTGTTATTTCATAATATCAATTTGACATCAAAGTCAATCAAACCCGGTATTCCTCAAGTTGAACATCCTGGCCCTTCAATGGAACATATTCTGCTAGCAAATAAACCTCCAGGTGATTTGATAACTCCATCTTATCAATGTTTTCATGATGGTAGGACTTGCAGACGAAGTAGATCACTGTCTGGATCACCAGCCCAAACAGATTCAACATAGAAAGCACCAAGAAACACAGGATTGCATACGACACCCGGTCCACCATGGGCACCAGTCCCCAGCGTCCATACACCACCAGCATCTGAAACGCGTATCGAACTAACAAAAAAGAGAGATTGAGCTTGAAAAATATAACCATGACAATTATAAGCTTGCCCCTGATCAGCTGCCGGCTCTTCATTATGGCTTTAAGGCCGTATGACTCCTCCAATACTGATACAACGCAGGCCAGGTACCAGACTATGCTCAGGTAGATGAACCCGAAGATGAACAGGAAGAGACAGATAAAGAACAGCGGAACAACTGCGGCAGTGTCCCGCAGGAAATAAACAATAGAAACAAAAACTAAAGTTGCTGCCACGATGCAAGCAATTGTGGCAATGAAGATACATAAGAAAGTCATCAAGAGACGCTTCCAGACCTTGGGAACGACGGTCATGACCTTACCGAACGTAAGATCGCATCCTGTGTAGATGCAGGCAACAGTGTACACAACTGCAGAGGTGGAGAGGAGAGAGAGGATGAGGTAGAAAGTGCTGTAGACAACTTTGAAGAGGAAGAAGTAAGTCCGTTCTTTTGAGAGAAGATCGGAAAGCCTGTGGTAGCGAGTGGTGCCAACTGGAGTCAAGTGCTGGCGTATCTCGGTGAAAATGATCTTCCTTTGGATGAGGTTGGAGACTTCAATGTAAGCGAGGAAGATGAAGGAGAGAGGGAGGATGAGGGAGAGGGTGATCTTGGCGAAGATCTTCCAGTATGAGTAGATGACCTTGCAGGATTCTTTGTAGATTCCAGAGAGCCCCAGAAACTGCATCTCTTCTTGTTCCCTGTCCATGGTGTTTTAACCAGAGTTTCCCTTCAGGAGCAAACGTGAAGAAGATGGAAGTGGAATGTGGAATTAAGGATTGAGACTTGGGGGGTTTTTATACTGTTATCTGAGTCTGACTAAATCTTGGACTGCATGCCCCTTGCTTGGAAATTTAACAAGAGAGGACCAAGTCAATGACCCAAAAAGTAGCCCCTGAACTTGTAAGCATTTCACAATTAAGCGCCCAAGTTCATTCCTTTTCACTTTGGTACTTTTCAAATTAGAGCAAAAAACGCAATAGTTAGCAAATATGGATACAATTGGTGGTTGAAGTGAACTGGTAGTTTTTATTCGTTTGTTTGTTTTAAAGGCCAGCAATGACTTAGATGTCACCGTTTTTTTTTTTTTTTTTCTGACAATGAAAATTATATGGTTAAGTTAGCATCTGTGTTATACTGAGGATTTGACATCGAAACCAAAAGATGCATTCCACTTTGTCGTTGAGCAGCGTGACCACGCACGTGGTTCACGTAGGGAAATGCACTTAAATGTCACCGTTTGATTTCGGCGGAGGCGAAAGTCAAAGCTATTAATGAAGATTGAAGAAGCCCTTTTCTTCCCAAGCCGTCGTCTGAATTGAGGTGCGCTGAGACTAGACGTTGGTGCCCTTTTCTTATTGCTGGGAAGCTTCCTACTTAGAATTACAATTTATCATAATAATGGAAATGAGAAAAATTAAGGTATATTAATAATTAAAATGTCAAAAAAATAATAAAAAAGTTAAAATAATCTTAATACATTAATACATAAAAATTTATTAATAATATATTTGATTTGGGAGAAATAAAAAAGAGAATTTTTTTTAACTAATCAATTTGATTGGTCAAAAAAATAATAAAAAAGTTAAAATAGTCTTAATAAATTAATATATAAAAATTTATTAATAATATATTTGATTTGAGAGAAATAAAAAAAAATTTTTTTTAACTAATCAATTTGATTGGTCAAAAAATTCTTTTTCCCCTTCTGTTTTTTACAAA